AAACACATAAAACCCAAGAGAGCTAGAACAATCCTCTATAGTGGTACCTCTGGAGGTCTCACCATTCCTGATTTCAAGCTATACTACAGAGCTATAGTAATTAAAAATACATGACTTCAGCATAATAACAGAAAAATTGATCAACTGAATCAAATTGAAGACACAGATATAAATCTACACACCTATGGACACCTGATATTTTTTATAAAGAAAGCATCTTCAACAAATGGTGCTAGTCTAACTGGGTGTCTGCATATATAGAAGAATGAAAATAGATTCATATCTATCTATCACCTGCACAAAACTCATCTAAGCAGATCAAAGACCTCAACAGAAAATGAGAAATACTCAATCTGATAGAAGAGAAAGTGGGGGATAGCCTTGGACATATTGCCATAGGAGACAACTCCTGAACAGAACAACAATAGCACAGGTACTAAGATCAACAATTAATAAATGGGACCTCATAAAACTAAAAAGCTCCTATAAGGCAAAGGACAAAATGTCAGCCTATAGAATGCGAAAAAAAAAAATCTTCAACTCCACATCTGACAGAGGGCTAATATCCAAAATATATAAAGAACTCAAGAAACTAGACATCAATAAGTTAAGTAATCCAATTTAAAAATAGGGTACAAATCTAAACAAAGAATTCTCAACAGAGGAATCTCAAATGGCCAGGAAATACTTTTAAAATGTTCAACATCATTAACCATCAGGGAAATGCAAATTAAAACTACTTTGATATTTCATCTTACACCTGTCAGAGTGACAGCTCATGCTGGCATGGATCTGGAGTAAGAGGAACATTCCTCCATTGCTGTCAGGAGTACAAACTTGTACAATCACTTTTTAAATCAATATGGTGATTTCTCAGAAAATTGGGAAAAGTTCTACCTCAAGACCCAGCAATACCACTTCTGGGCATATACCCAAAAGATGCTCCACCATACAACAAGGGCACTTGCTCAACTATGTTAAGAGAAACTTTATTTGTAGTTATTGCTTCCAGAAACTGGAAACAACCTAGATGTCCCTCAGCCAAAGAATGGATAAAAAAAAAAAAAAAAACAATGTGGTACATTTACACAATAGAGTATTGCTCAACTGTTTAAAAAAACGACATCATGAAATTTGCAGGCAAATGGATTGAACTTGAAAAAACTTTTGTGAATAAGGGATCCAGACCCAGAAAGACAAACATGGTTTGTACTCACTTATAAGTGGATATTAGCTGTAAAGAAAAGAATAATCAATCATGCTAAAATCCACAGACCCAGAGAAACTAAGTAATAAGAAGGGCTTCAGTGGGGACACAAGGTTCCTTCTGGGAAGGAGAAACAGAATAGATTTCATGGGTGAACTCAGGGCGAGTTGGGATGGGAATAGGAGAGATCAGCTGGCGAAAGGGGAGGTGAAGGGAGAGAGCTGGATTTAGGGGGATTTGAGGGATTTGAGCTGGATTTGAGGGGCACAGTAGAAACCTAGTGCAATGGAAACTCCATGGAGTCTATGAGGTGACACTAGTAAAGACTCCTAGTAATGGGGGCATGGAGCCTGAAATGGCCATCCTCTGCAACCAGACAAGGCCTCAAGTGGACCAACCCAGCCACAAAACTTCCAACCAACAGTTTGTCATACCTGCAGGATGTGCTGGAACTGTAGACTAGCATAATGGTCAGCAGAGAAACCAGAGAGACTTCATCCAGCAACTGATGGTAGCAGATGCAGAGTCCCACAGCCAAATATTAGGTGGAGCTTGGGGAGTCTTGTGGAGGAAGGGGAGGAAGGATTGGAGGAGCCAGAGAGGTCAAGGACATCACAAGAACACAGACCACATAATCAACTGATAGGGAGCTTGAGTGGGAGCCTGTAAGGGTCTGACCTACTCTGCATATATGTTATGGTTGTATAGCTTGGTGTTCTTGGTGCGAGCCCTAACAGTGGGATCAGGGAATGTCTTTGACTCTTTTGTCTACTTTGGGACCCTTTTTTTTCCTACTGGGTTGCCTCATTCCGGCTTGATGTAAGAGCATGTGCCTGATCTTATTGTAGCTTGTTATGCCATATTTAGTTGATCTCTGGGAGGCCTGCTCTTTTCTGAGGGGAGGTAGAGGAGGTGGATCTTTAAGAAAGAGGATGAGGGAGAGACTGGGGAGAGGGGAGGGAGGGGAAACTGCAGTATGGATGTAATATATGAGAAAAGAATAAATTAGAAGGGGGAAACTCCTTCAGAGTCCCAAATATGTTGTTTATGTGGGATAAATGAAGATCATTGAGAAAGAGCAGCTTGGAGGACAGGTGAGTTAAATCTGTGACATTTGAGCATAAGATGTCTGTAGATGATCTAAAAAGCAATATCAAGCACACAATTGAATACTACAAATCTGAACCTGAGGGAACACAAGTGAAAGGGGCTTAGTGTTGCAGGATATTTGATTCCATTGTGAACGCCAAGATTGTGAACTGTAAAAACCTGTTTTTGATTGTGGTGTGGCTCAGTCTTTGATACTAGAACTTTCTATTTACTGTAAACAAGTACTTGTGGTATGGCTCAGTCCTAGTACACACCTTTATTCCAAAAAATTTCTGTAAACAGGATTAAGTAAAGTTAACCCTAGCTTAAGAGGAGAAGTAAGCAACCAGATTGACAGGAAGTGAACATGGGAAAACACCACAGAGAGTGAGAGGAAGTCTGGAGGAGGGATAGAGAGATACACAGGAAGTAGAAAGGAGCTACCTTGAATTGAAGGGTATTCAAGACAGAGTAGAGAAAGAGAAAGAGCTTTTTCCTTTTGGGACATCAGCTGAGTACGAAGGTCAGCTGGGTGCGTTCTCTGCCTCTCTGAGCTAGGAAGTTTTCACCCCAACATCTGGCTCCTGAGTCTTTTTTGGTAAAATCAAATGGTTGGGATTTTCTTCCTTTATAACAACAGCTTAGTAGCCATCAGGTTTTCCAGGCTATTTGAAACTACCATGGAGTAAGGGTAAGGCAAGCAAGCTCAGGCAGGGAATAGAAAATGCAGAACAAGATGCCATCTGTAAAACAAAGAGGAGTCAGGAAGTTGCCTTCAAATCAGTGACAAGGAAGATGAGTGGGTATTAGTAAAGATGAAAAAGGGAGGTTTCAAGGGGAGAAAAGTGTTTTGTAATTGGAGCACAGGCAGCTAGTTTCTTTCCCCTTTCCCTTAACAAAATCTAGTTCCAGTGCAGCAGTGAGTCTGGGGAACAGACTCACAGACTTTAGTCCCCAGGCTCCTCTATAGTCCAAACACATCTCCTGTCCAACCTAAGCAGATGTCTATACACTTGAAGATGTTAGAAATCTACCACTCTCGTGATCTAAAGGGGCACATGGCTGCCACTTCACTTTAGCCCTTGGCCTTTTCTCCTTTCTTCCTTCTTAAATTCTGTGCCCAGAAGTGCAGCAGAAATGTGCTTGAAAATAAAAGACAAACAAAATAAACAAGAAGCCTGGCCTCTGGTGACCTCGGTTGAAGTGAGAAGCCAGAGGATCCACCTTGGCTCGTCTCTCAAGCCAGGGTGCTCCAACCCACCCTTAACCATCCTTCTGACCCACTTTCCTCCAAGTACCTCTGCCAGGTTGGCATTCTGGGGGTCACATCTTGTCCCGCCTGGCTTCATGAAGAAGATTCCAGGCCTCCAGAATTACACCCTCTAACCTGCTGGCACCATCTGTCAAAAAGTGAACACTTGTATTAATCTTCACTTAAAACCCTCCTACCATCCTTTGCTGCTTAGTGAGTAAAGCAAAAGTCCTCAGCTACACAGACAGGTCTTTGACTGTTTGGCCCATATGTGGAGAGTACTAGGATCACACAGTATGAGAAAACATACTGTGTGTATGTATTTCAATGTATTTTGAACAGGAACCATGCACCAAAGCCTTGTTCTAGGAACTTTACACTTCTGTAATAGTCAACAGCCTCTGCTCAGACATCTGGTATTAGTAGTCTCCCGAGGACTCTTTCTCAGAAAGGTGATGTCACTTGCTCCAGTACACAAGGTAAGCTTAGGTGGAGAAGGCCTGGGTGTCAAAATTCTTTCCCCCCAAGTCAGAGACTTAGCATGAAAGAATGTACTTTTTGCTTTCCTAATTCCCTTCCTCTATCTTAAATGGACCAGGTGAAGGGTGGCAGGCACATCCAGTCTTCCCTAGAAACCTACACACTTCTGCAGACCCTGGACTGAGACAAAAGAGCCTTGTCACCTGTTGGGCCTGATCTTCCAAACCAAGGCCTCTTTTATGGGCTACCTGGATGACCTTGAATGAGGGTCAGAACCAAGAACCCTTCTTCCTTACCCCATTCTTGGAACCAAGACCTTGGGACTGAGTTTCCAAGACCTCTTTCTGCCAAGTACAGCGCTGGGAAAGCAGCAGGGCCAACTCAGGTGACTTCTACTTGGCTCATGCAAGTCCTGGAGGCTTGCGCTTCCTGCACCTACAGCCTGGACACTATCCGTGGTCGTTCAGGTAAAGCGGGAGCAGCCTGTGACCCCGCTCCTTCCGCTCCTTCGAGGGCGCCTTGCGCCTGGTGGAGCTGTCAGGAAGAAAGAGAAAGATAGACAGAGAGACACAGAGAGAGAGAGAGACAGAGACAGAGACAGAGAGAACGGCCCCGGGGAACCCGGCTGCTGCTGTAGGGACAGGGGTATCGCTGAGATCTGAAACTGGCCAAGAGAGCGAGTCCCCATCGTCAGTGTCCCGCGGGAAAGGCGATCTGGACTCCCGCTTCGCAGCAGTGGCAAGGACCTGACTCTAAACCGCCCGCCCCACTGGGATGAGAGTCCCCTGCAGCCCGCTCACCGCGGCCGCCTGGCTTTGACCCCCTCGCGCCCCCGCGCGTCCATCTCTGTTCCCAGAGCCATGCAAGTGCTGTAGGGTGGCTGGCTCGCGCGCCTTCCTCCTGCCTGGACAGAGTCCTCCTGCCCCGCCCGCAGCGCCAAGGCGCCGGCTCCGATCCGCTGCGCCCAGGCTCCTTTTCCAGAGCTCTGGCGACCACCGGCAGCAGCTGGAAAAGACCCTCCTCATCTGTCCGGCTTTCCTCCTCCCCTGCCCTACCTTCTGCGTGCAGTGTTGGTGAGAAAATCCAGGCTTGACTCTCCGAACCGACGGATAGAACTGATGGACAGCCCTTAGGAAGGTTTCTGGAAACACTCGGAGCCTTCTCATTCACAGGAGGTGGCAGGAGCCTAAAGGTAACTCGTTGACCCTACTTGGCACATGTTGGTATGAGATAGGGTTGCAAGAGTGGGGGGGGTGCAGAAAAGAGGGAGAGAGGAAGAGGGAGAGAAAGAGAGAGTGAGTGAGAGAGAGAATGAAAGACAAGAGTTAGAGATAGCAAGAAAGAGTTGGTGGGTGGGAAGTTGAATGTGATTTTTTTTTAACCCCTGTTGTTTCACGTCCCACAGAAAAGAAAAAGGGTGCTTCCTGGCTACCAAGCAGTCCCCATCCTGGATGGAGTGAACGATGCGGCCTGATGACATAAATCCGAGGACTGGGCTGGTGGTGGCCCTGGTCAGTGTTTTCCTGGTCTTTGGCTTTATGTTCACCGTCTCTGGCATGAAGGGGGAAACTCTGGGGAACATCCCTCTGCTGGCCATCGGGCCAGCCATCTGCCTACCAGGCATCGCAGCCATTGCTCTGGCCAGGAAAACCGAAGGATGCACCAAGTGGCCAGAGAATGAGCTACTCTGGATCCGCAAGTTACCCTGTTTTCGGAAGCCCAAGGACAAGGAAGTAGTAGAACTGCTGAGGACCCCGTCAGACCTGGAGTCCGGCAAGGGGAGCTCAGATGAACTGGCTAAGCAGGCAGGCATCAGAAGCAAGCCGCTCCCCCAGGGACCAGGTGAGGTGCTTATGGACAACTCCATTACCACCCCCACACACCCAGAGGAAGGAGAATGCCAAAGTCTTGTCCAGAGTGGGCGTCAGGAGGAGACATCCAGATACCTGGATGGCTACTGCCCCTCAGGCAGTTCCCTCGCCTATAGTGCCTTGGACGCCAAGGGCTCAGCCTGGGACAGATCTGACCACCCTGAGCCCGAGGACAGCATCTTCTTTGTTCCCCAGGATAGTATCATCGTTTGTTCCTACAAGCAAAACAGCCCCTATGACAGATACTGTTGCTACATCAACCAGAGCCAAGGCAGGTGGGACCATGAGACAATAGTCTGATTTGTTCACACAGGGTCCCATGTTGACAGACACATTGCTACACTCCGCTCCCAATGGAAGAAAATCTCTGCTCCAACAGCTGTCACACTATTAGAAACTGGCATGGTATGTGAGGGGTGCAGACCTCTGGCGCCTGATGCTCCTGTAAATAGGCATGCTGGGGGCACACTTCAGGGAAACACTGAGGAGTAAGGGCAGCGGGAAGAGGTAACAGTAAAGAAAGTTCCATTTGCTTCTGAACAAATTAAACGATGTTGAATACTTTGTAAAACAGCCCAGAAAGTGCTAGCACCTGCTGACAGTCAGGTGAGTCTAGAAAGAGCTTCAGATGCCAGGTAGCAAATGATGCAGGGCTATTCACACAGAAACTGGCTGCTTTGTGTCTAAAGAATGTGAAGGAAAATTGTGTGTTCCTTTATATGAAATTATTTTTGCCTGTTGGTAGCTTTTCACACATAGTTGCTGAAAGACATAAAAATCAAGATATGGGATGGGTTTTGGAGTAAGGGGAGTTTAAAATAGTTGAAACGTATAACTGAGTCCTGGCCTCTGACAAGATTATGGTTTCAAATAAAGTGTTGCCTATATTATGTGAAATGTTAAGATTTTGGGTGGTTTCACATGAGTTCATTTGCTGGGACTTTATCTGAAGTCTTTAAATATTTATTAACAATAATGTATTTCCTTATGAGGTGCAAAATGGCTTGATGTAATATTTTCATTACTTATATAATTGTTTTCAACATTTCTGGTAGGCATGTACTAGGGATTACTCTATGCCTTTTAAAGTATGAAACTACAAAGCCAATCAATTAGTCCTGAACATTATGAAAAATCTTTGTGAGATGCAATAGTTAAGCCTTCAGAAATGCTCTTGTTTGTACATTTGTTCAACAGCACCCCCACCCCAACAATGACTGAAAATGCCAATGAAGAAGTTAATTTATAAGATTTAATTGAAGCCTTTATTTTATTAAGTTCACTGGACCATTGAAATTTACGTGACAAAAATCTCATTATTTTCCACTTTTTTGTGGCTGAGGGAAGAAGCATCATAGTGCTATCCTAAAATTTGTTTCCTATTTGTCTTGCTTAATTGTAACAGATAAAAAGAATAACCAGCAGAAATGCCATTTCATCCCTCTTGTATAGTAGTTGTATTTTATATGAATGGCATTTTATATATATATATATCTGAATGGTGATAGATTTAGACTTGAGAATTAGGATATATTATACCCTTTAGTGAATTTTAATTTTAATTATTATATCAAATAGTTTTAGTTACTTTCTCCTAAAAGGTGAATTGAGGACAAAAAAAATTGGAGGCTTACCTCTTTTATGTACTTCAAGTCCAACTCTGATTCTTAAGTTCTTATGTTCTTAAATATCATGATTTTTGAATGATGTTTAAGATAAAAAAAGATGTCATCTTTTTAGTCAGGCCTCAGTGTCAGAAGATGAGATGTGTGGTCTTGGACAAAGCTCATCTTCCAACACCTCAGTTTTTTACTCTATGGAAGAAGACTAGGACAAAGACTGATTTTCAATAAGTTTTTTTCCATCATTCACCCCCAGGTGGGACATTCTAAAATAGTATATCAAAGAAATTGTATGTTGCAGGAAGTATGCTACAGCAAAATTCATGACCATGTTATGCAACCCCTGATCAAAATCATGCAATGTGGATTAAACTGCTACTACTCACAAGGATTTTGTAGATGTCTGAAAACAGATGTATTTCATTACTACATAGTATTTATTAGACACCAATACATTCCTGGACATAAAACTGAAACTGCTGAGGGTAAGATTTTTTGAGGAATAAATATTTTAGATTTTGGTGTAGCCCAAAGTGATATAACACACAGCTTTGCATGCCATGTCACTGAGTTTAGATTTGAGGGAGTGAGGGCTAGTTTCCTAAAATCACATATCTGTTTTGAAAGCAGAAAATGGTATTTATATACATAAGATTATTAGAGATATAGGAACTAGAGTTTTCCCTTTTGGCATTTTCAGAAGTGAGGAGATAGATGAATGTTTGTTTGGGGCTCATCAAGTCCTACATGGGTCTGAGAGGAGAGGACTGGGGTGTTTGCTAAAGTTTGGAATTTGGAAACGTTGCCTTCCGAAAACAGTTCAGAATTTTTTACATAATGTGTACATGTGTGCACATAGTCCCATTTCCAAATCAAGGATCAAGTACTAATTTAGAGATATAAACTATTTTTAATTATATTTTCAAATTGAATTTTAGAAGCAAACATTTTTCCATTTACCTATTTAAAATACCAAAGCTAAGTACACACTCATGGGTATATTTTTCTGTGCTAAAAGAATGATTTGAAAATGTTGGGCTGAAAGATTTAACTTTCTTTACCCAAAGAATAAAATGTGTAGTGTGTCTTGTGTGGATTTTTTTTAGCATCTTCCACTGAGCCACCCCCTCTTCTATGCAGCCTGATGCCCCTAATCAACTCTATGAGTACTATTCAGGGTAAACCTGTTGTTCTTTTAAATAGAGGCAGAAAAAATAGGGGTTAAACCCAACAGCCTTGGAAAATTACTAATATTAACAGAAGTAGTAAATGGATTGTTCCTGGAAGCCTTTAAGAACTCCCAAACTGATATAAATTGAAATAGGCACTAGTTATCCTTCCTTTGCTATTAATCCAAATATCATTTTCTACTTGATATTAAATAGGCATTTTACTTTTGAAATTTCTCTGTTCAATTACTCTTGCCCTGTATTCCTACTAATTAGGACCACAGGTTCTTTTCCCATCCACCCATGTCTTGATTCCTAAATGTAAATTCAACCAAGATACCCAAGCTGGAGCACATTAGACAGCTGCTTCAAGGTTTACTCCTCATGGCAGTCATCTTGGGGGAGGGATCCGGATACAGTTAGGTCCCAGCTCTCTCCCAATTCTGCTTGTCAACTCCTCCTAAATGTTTTCAGTATTACGGATCTTAACATCCACTCAGTTGACAAACATAGAAAAAGAGGGTGAGTTCTCTTAATGTTGTTTCTCTTCTGCAAGTTCTAATCTCACCTTGTTAGTGACACCCCTCTGTGCCCACAGCATTGACTGTTTGGTGAATTCACTCTTTGCCACCATTATTATTTTTATTATATTAAATTTTTTTTTCTGGGCATGGTGGTCATGGTCCTGTAATCCCAGCACATGGGGTTGGGGGCAGAGGAAGGAGCAATCTTTAGCTACATAGTGAATTGAAGAACAGCCTGGTTTACAAGAGGCTCTGTTCGGGGGGAAAAAAGAGAACTGAAACTCCCAGTGTCCTGAGAGAACTACTATACTTCTTTGCTGCCAGCTCATCTTCCAGACCTTGTCCACATGTGCACACAGTGCTGTAATGATTACAGCAGCCTGTTTGTCCTTATATTTTCTCCCTGAGTATTATTTCCCCCTTTCTGTACATTATTTCTGGTCACCAGCTAATAATTGTGTAATATGTCATTTTGATGGTTCCATAATTCATCATGCAATTCCTTGTTGCTGACCATATAAAAGCATTGTTGATGTTTTTACCGTATGCCTACAGAAATGAAAACTTACCATTGAACACCTGTCTCCCTGCAAAGGGAGCAGAAATGTATAGGTGTGCATATCGCTTCTCTTCACACACTTAGCTCTAAGATGCAGGGTGGAGGACAAAAGACATTGGCTTCAAAACACAGCTTCTCAAAACTAGACTATAGCAAGGCCAGCCTTCAAAAAGCACAAGGTCCAAAGAGCAAAATAATAAATAAATAGATTTAGTTTATGGTAATTTCTAATATTGCAAAGCATTTTTCTCAAAGTACTTCCCCAAATATTTTATATTTCATATATGTATATATTAATAACTTATAAATGAACTGAAATTTTAGGAACTCAACTGACTCTAACCTGGACTTCTTTGTGTTTTAGTTCCAAACTAGAACAAAACAAAACACTAAAGGGAGGATGGAAACATTGCATAAATGTTTGAAGCTCAACCAAATAGCTCCATGAAGGCTTGAACTCCAGTTAGCCTCTTGTCAACTTGACACAGAAGTGTGCAAATACTGTTGTCAGTTTTCTGTTATTCTGACAAATGGCCTGAGATTATATTATAAAGGGAAAGGTTGATTTTGTATCAGAATTTTTGGAGGTTTCAGTCCAAGGTCAGGTGTGCCTGTTGCTTTGGGGACCTTTGTCTAGGTGCCCATTATGACAGGTGTCAGACACCACAACAAACTTCTTCTGTCGTGTCTAGAATGAATGAGAGTTAGAGGAAGAGGCTGGGGTCCCAATAGCTCTCCAGGAGCATTCCACAATGCCAGAAAGACCTCACACTGGGCACTACTTCTTCAAGTTCCCTGCACCTCCAAGTAGCACCAAGTTGGGGAAACAAGCCTCTAACCTGTGGGGCTTCAGGGGAGAGGAATGTGGGATGGGGAAGCATTTCAAACCTAAACTATAGCAAGTTCCATTAAGCTGTAATCGGCCTTTCACAGACTCTCATTCCACATGCTCCCAACACAAAGCATATTCAGGTAAGGCTCCCAGTTCCCTTGATCCAGCAGTCTTGGGATCATAAGCATTTTGGATTTTGGAATTACTAGATTTGGGGGTATTTGCTAATACTTTATTAGGTGAGGTTCCCTTACCCAAAAATTGCACATGTGAAATGCCACAAAATGTGAAGCGCTGGAAAAATTTCCAATTTAGGACAATTGGGAGTGAGCCTTTTGAATTAGTAATTCTCTACGTGGACATGATGCTCACCAGATATACGAGGTGAGCACAAACTCAGTCTCCAGTCTTTGGTGAGTTGTTCCTGGGCCTGACTCTGGTTAGGGGCCTTTTCCTTTCCCTCATTCCTCCTCCTGACCCCAGGTTAGCCCCCACAAGCCTCGGTGTCCTTAAATGTTTTAGGTAACGTTACAGGATGGACCAATTACTAAACAAAACACAAAGTGGTTTAACATCTTGTGTTCTTTTTGACACATTTGTCAAATCTGAAAGTTAAATGTAAAGATATATTTTTTTGCAATCTACCACTTCTTATTTTTCATAGAAATGGGCAACTGTACATAAGGCAAGACCATATAAGGAAAATTGGGCTTTGAAACTCATCTGCCTATAATCCAACATTCAAAGCGTGGGCAGTCATCTGCTAAGCAAGTGACTGGACCCTTGGAAGCACTCCGGAAGGCCCCACTCTGCCACCTTCCTCTTATCCTCTGCAGCAACTTCCATTTTTAAAATGTGTTTTTAAATGTTTATTTATTTGAGTATCTCTCATCTTACTCTTTTTTTGTGTGTGTGTGTGTGTCTTTTTATTTATTTATTTATTTTTGCATCTTTTGATTTTTTTTTTTTTTGCTTTGCTTTTGAGAGGGAAAGAACATGAAGGTGGGTGGGTATAGGTGTGGAGAGGATCTGTGAGGAGTTGGGAGAGGGAAAGAATACGTAAATCATTGTATGAAGAGATATTTTAAAATTTGAGTAATAAAATAAAATGTATTCAGTAGGGTAGGAATGATGCACTAATGCCAGGGAGCACGTGTGGAAGCTGGAGGACAACTTGAGGATGCAACAACTCATGTCAATAGGCTTGGCAGCAAGTGCCTTTACCCA